ACGGCCACACATTCATTACATTTAACTACATTTAACCTAGCGCATTCAGGAGCGAAAGAAATAGTGTTAACCGCGTGTACTATTGTAATAAAAAAAATTAATTTTTTAAAACACTTTTCTTCGAAATGTTAGTAAATGCGTTAATATATTATAAAAATTTAAATATATCACTACAAATTTTAGACGCTCCCCGATTTTAAAAAGAAAATTATTTGTGAATCGCTCTTTACAAAAATTTGTAGTCGCTATACGTGTTGCGGTCAATATCGCGCTCGAAATTGGAATTGGATTAGATTATATTGGAATTGTTTCAAACTGACAAAGTTACTTTTATCGGACATCAATATTCCTAAATGAGGTTTCCGTACTTGAAATAATGGACATTCCTGCCATTTGTGTTCAGCACAATATATTTTCCAGCGAGCGAACCGCAACTGTATGACGTCGAAAAAAATTATCGCTCGAAAATATCGCTGCGTGATCAAAGTTATTTCACGAGATCAAAGCAACCTCATTTTCCGCGGTACGTGCACGAGCGCCACGCGCTGTGGCTTGCTGAACGTTTTTGTTCCCGTTTTTAGCGAAGTTGCGAATTTTTCTCGCCATTATCTCGTCTCGCGCCGACAAATTCTTCGATGTGTCGAAATCGTTCGATGTTTATCTGCGACAGCGGCCGCGTTTTCAGGACGCATATTGTATATTCACGCGCGACGCTATTACGAGATCCTGCGACAAGGAACATCATAAAGCATTTATTAAATGTTTCTTTATCTACTCGCGCGCGCACCGTCGTTTCTATTACAATTGTGCAAAATTATTGCTTTCATCTATATTTAGAGCGAAGTTTTCTTGCGAGACGATGTCTTAAGAGGTATTGCTCTTTCGACGAATTTGAAGTTTCGTTATGATGAAATGATCGCTATTTAATAAGATCGATGAATTAGCCAGTCTTATAAATGATGGATTTTCTTAATTAAATGGAACGTTTCTTCTCTTATTTATCAAATCTTTTATTTTTATTATTTCAATTTATCTTATATTTCTATTTTTTCTTTAGATTTTTATCGCGCGTATAAATCATTGTTGTAGTCGCTTTCACTCAGGAATCGCTCATTCAAGCGTACTTATCGACCAAGATTTTCTGAAGTGCGCTTGTAGCGCACTTTCACGTCGCGCTTCGTCTATTTTTCATTATTTCTCGACGCGCTTCGTTTACCCTCGGCAAGAAAAGCGTCTTCCGTGTCTCTCCTTCATCCCGAACATCTATGATGGAGAGTCACGGTGCTCAATTTCGGTCGGAGCTTTTCTAGTTTAACCGAGAATCAGATCACTCTTCACTAAATATTTATACGCACTTTTAACATTCTAGGCACCAGAAAAAGATCTATACACGTTTGCCGAGGAACGGAAACTATAATTATACTTAGCTAGTTAAATATGCATCTGAACATTTTTTAAATTTTAAACAGAGTGGATTTGTGTATTTATAATATTGTAGAACTGGCAGTAATAACAAATTTGCACACTGTTTTCTCTAATCTATTATGCGTATTTTTTCCAGGGTCATAAATTTATTATGCTGTACACCTGGTCTCTAGTTATATTCAGTCAGCCGACAGAATAAAAAAAGAGGCACGGATTATAACAATTGTTCGTGCGTTTCTGGTGCGCAACAATGTCGCGTTGCGGTTTAATGATTCGACATATTTCACAATAACGCCAGTCTACAGCGGTGCTAATCGCGGATGGTCACTTTATCGAGCGATCGATCGCGCGACAGGACATCAAAATCAGTTTGTAACAATCGTTAATGGCGCATCCCCGATCGGGACGCGCGATAGCTCCGCGCATCGCCATCACATCGCGAGGCTCTTATCTCTGATCAAGAAACACAATCTATCCTGCACCAGGAAACGCCGTGATTCTAATCATGTGCCGGTAGAGCTCTATTTTAGACTCCATTTCGTTTAGACAGGTGCATACTTATTATTGAGGCAGCACGAAAAGAACCAATATATTTTTTCGATATTCTTTTTGGTATATGTCTATTTGATATATTTCATGTATCAGGGAATGATTGAGAAAAAACCTTACGAGCGCATTTTTGCACGTTTGTAAAAACTGATAGAAAATTTTTCGTTTATAGCATAATCCTTTCTAAAAAAAGGCATGTTAAGTCGATAGTCGAATTCATTGTTGCCGCTTTTCCGCGATGCTGATTGGTTCTTTCGCTGCGCATACTTTATTTGCAGCTGTCATCGTATATTTCGACAGTTGTGTGTATCAAGAAGTTAATAGTGTAATAGTATAATAGCATAATGTTAAAGCTAAAATAGCGCGCGCGAAGCGCGCGTCTGTGGTGTCTAGTTCCAATCTTAAAAATGGCATGTCAACTGACAATGAGTGAATTTCATTTGTATCGAAGAATTGAGGCCTCTTTTCCGCGATGCTGATTGTTTGTCTCGAATTTTGCATCGCGTCGTGTTTCGCTTGTGTCGCTTCTGTGGCTATCAATTTCGAAAAACTTTTTACTAAATGGCGCGCGCGTAGCGCGCGCTTGTAGTGTTCTAGTCCTCTTCTAAAAAGAGCATGTCATCGATACTCGAATCTATCGAAGTATTGTTGTCGCTTTTCCGCGATGCTGATTGGTTCTCTCTTTGCGCTTACTTCATGAGCGGCTGTCATGGGATATTTTGACAGTTGTGTGGTTAATAGTGTAATAATAACAGTGAAATATTAAAAATAAAGAGCGCGCGCGTCTGTGATGTCTTGTATTTAATAAAGTGTATGTATCTATATTATATATTATATATTAGGTACGGTTTTAATATATTTCTAGATAGAAAGATATTTCAGCGTAGGAGAAAGATTTAATCCACTCCGAAGCTAACAGAAATACCTTTAGTCGAGTTGAGGGTGATGGAATTTTAGGAATTTTACACGCAATATACTTCATTTGCGTTTGCTCGGACGAGAAATGTAATAATAAAGCGCTAGACGGCGCTAAACTTTTTTCGTACGTGTGTAATAAGCGCGCTATTTGTTTGAGAGCAAGAGAAAGAGGCGCTTTTAAACTTTTCTTTGGTTTGCGCGTAATAATAGAGAGATCGTTGGAAACATACTCGTTCGATGTATCTAATAATAGAGAGCCAGTTTCGAACTTCTTTTTTCACAAATGTAGTAATAACAGGCAAACGGCCCTAAAACTTCCTCTTGATGCATGCTTCAATAGCGGCGCTTCTCATAGTCTCTTTTAATACGTGTAATAACGAGGAAACGCGGTTCCCCCAAACTTTCCTGATGCGTCTAACGACGACGGCAAGGAGTTTCGAGAAAGAATCCAACTAGAATCCACTATCCCTCACCGCGCAAGACGTTTCGGATGAGAGAGAGAGTGGGTGGAAGGAGACTCGATCCGAGTGACGTGCCGCGGGCGATTGATGACTTGTGACCCACTTTTCGCGCCGTTGACCCAGATGCGAAGGTGCTCCGATGTAAGATATCGGAGTCCTTCCATTTACCTCTCTTTCTAGCGCGCTTCTCTTCCGCACTCTCTCTGTTCTCGACCGCCTCGCGGCTGCTGACAGTAGTCGGTTAGTTTACTTAGACAGCGAGAACGTATGGCCGATCTCATTTCTCCGATCGGGAGCAACTTAGATTACAAGATTTTCAGGAACTGTTAGTCAATTGTTTCAGAAGTAACGCATGTCCAATTTTGAACGTCTTATTTACTTCGCTTTATTTAGAATATATTTGAAATATTTGCTTTGAATAATGTTCAAGAAAAACAATTCGTTTGTGCATTTCTCAATTTGGATGATCCATTATCTTCGATAATTATATTTTAAAAATAAAGTATAATGGTAAGTTATTGAATTATATTGCGCGATGAAACATGAATCGCGTAATTTTCCGCAGAACTAAAGTTACGTCATGATATTAGTCCTCATCGACGTGAACTATTTAAAACCGGCGTAAAATAAAAAAAAAACGTTCTTCGATAGGCGATGTTTTGCATGCGAAGAGTTATTACCGTGGATATTTTAAGCGGAGTGCATTTTAAACGAGCGACTTATCGCTCGATGAATCATCGACACGATCGTTACTCCATTTTTCTCTTATGATTCATTGTATAAGTGAAGGTGATATCGGCGGAACGCATGATACTTTATCAATATTATCCGATGTAGATTACTGTATCATACGTAAAAATAGTTCTGATAGTGAGTAATTTATGTAAAGCCTGCAAGGTTTCTATGTGGAAGGTTGAGGTATACTCGAACGTATATAAGTCGTTCTCTTTTGACATATCTATGAGATGACATCATTTTCCTTGCGTCTTTTTTTTTTTTAATTTAAAGAGAAAATCTTTCAAAGTTTTTTTTCCATTTTATTCATTTCTCCATGGGAATTTGATTAGACTTTATCCGCTCGAGAGTAAGATCAGAAAGCCATAAAATCCTTTTTTCCCTCTTTGTAATCTACCGTTTTAGACTCACTCATATTTCACGCTGCAGCAAGCACGGGGGAAGAGAGAGAGAGATAGAGAAAGCGGGTCCAGGATTTGTTTATGAAATTTATGCTAAGTCAGGGTATAAGAAACCCGGATAAGCACCGGGCAGGCAGGCAGGCAGGCAGGCAGGCAGGCAGGCAGGCAGGCAGGTAGGTAAATTCGTCTCTGTCAGTCAGCGTTGTGACGGGTAGACGACGATGCTCTCCGACTCGTCTCATCTCCGCTCTCCCTCCCTCGCTCTCCTAGCTTTCTCCTAAGATCCTCTCGCCGAATTGTGACAGCGTCGTCGTCCGCCGGAAGGATACGACACCGCGCCGCGCGTTGTATATACCCGGTGTGCGCGGCGTCGTATTGAAAGGAGGCAAGGAGTGGGAGGTCGGGATGGTGGGGTGGAAGCTATCGACGGCAAGGGAGGGGATCCGATGCTCGTGGTGGTGGTAGCAACGAGAACGGGTAGGGAGACCTCCACGTCGCAGAGGACCGAGAACAGTGTAACGTTGCTCCGGCCAGCACCACCAGCTTCAGTATCGTTCCGGCCGCGGTCTCGTTTGGTCGTTCTTGACGAAGGGTCGCGAGTTTATGTTCCTTCGGCATCGCCGCGACCGCCTTTCTTCCCGGCCTACTTTTGACCCGCAGAATACGTTACGGTCTCTTGCCGAGAAATTTGGTCGCTTCGGCGACTTGGTCGTCGTCGAGGCTCATTATGAACATGGGCTAGATCGCAGCTTGCCTTATCCGCCCGAGGATCAGGATCAGTGGAATAATGTGTCACGACAAGTAGGAGGAGAATTGAAACGAAGTTGTCAGTGCCAAAGTGGCGGTGCAAGTGCCGAAATTTATTTCGATATTATCTGAAGATTGTCATCGCGATCGTACGCCTGCTAGCATTGGTGGCGCGATCCGCGGATATTGTAAGATGAGCCCGGCCTCCCAGGGCGCCCTGGAAGTGGAGCGTTACATCGGCAGTTGCCTGATTTCGTCCAACGTGCGCGCCGGACTGCACGGTAAGCCCGTGCCCGTCTGTCGGAAGCAAGAACAGCCAGCGACGGTACGCGGCAGCAAGGTGCGCGGTTGTTATAATGGAGGGCAGGGTTACTCCGGGCTGGCTGATCAGCAGCAATGTCAGGTGCAATACGGTGGTCCGGGCGGCTGGACGGGCGCGCCGCTAATATCAATGACATCAAGTCCGCGCAGGTGTAATCAGCGTTCGTCGCCGTCACTCAGTCAACAACAGCAACAGCAGCAGTCGCAGCAACAGCAACAGACGTGCGGCGATCAGCAGCAGGTGCCACCGAGTGGTCATCTACACAAAAGTCCCCTGTCCAGGTTGGCGATTCACACGCAAGGCGCACCTCTGATTCTGGCCGGGCGATTTTACAATCGTGGCAAGGTGCACAGCAACAACAACAATAACAGTGGCAATTCTAACGCGTCGCCCTGCGGCAACCTCGCCGGCAATTACGTTCATAATAGCGCGAACCCATCCATGACGAGCAACGCGAACGGCGCGACGAGGTGCTCGGCATCGCGAATCGTCCCTCAAAGGCCGGCAGAGGCCACCGCCAAGAAACCACCGACGATGGTGTCCTCGAGCTCCAAGACAACAGCGACGAACGCCGATTGTTCGTCCGCTGCGGCGAAGGAAAATGCCGGTTCCTCGAATATTGCGAACATCGACTCGCTGAGTATCGCGAGCGACGAGAGCTCCGGATCGAATAATTCAGAGAACAGCCTGCCGCGCATCATCAAGCCTCGCAAGCGCAGAAAGAAGGACCGCAAGCCGCCAAACAATGTTGTCGCGAGTGGCGTCGACGCGGTCAAATCGGAGGAGCCGCAGGTGCAGCGGCAGCAGCCTACCGGTTGCGGCGCCACGACCGGGGAACAATCCGGTGTCATCGGGGTGAAATCGTACGCGCCGACCTGCTACGAACCAAGGATCTACGAAGCGGCCGCGCCGCATCTCAGGAACTACCGGAGGCCACCGGTCGGCCATCGTGAGAATATCTACGGTGGCTGCAGGGCGCCGTCGATGCAGGCAGAAATGGCGGACGTCAGGCAGCAGCGGTACGTGCACCACCGGCATCATGTGCAAGTGAAAGTGCTAGACGACAACCGTAACGTGATCGCGGCGCCGATGCGTGCCACGGCGCCACCCAAAAACTACCGGCATCATCACGTCAATGATAATGGTAACTGTAGCGGCAATCTGCCGCGACGTTACGTTCACGAGTATGGCGAGTCCTGCGAGGCCGCCGCCAGGGGAGACGGTCTGGGTCCGTGTCAGTGTCGATACTGCGACCCGGCCGGCCTAATCTGGGACGTCGACCGGAACGGTTACGCGCCGTTCCTGACGACGACTCTGCCGCCGCCACCGCCGTCGTCGTCGTCCAGCGTCGAGTACTGTCGCGGTAGTCACTTCAGCCAAATACCGCTGTTCCTGACGTCGCCGTGTACTGGTCTTCAGGAACGCGTGCTCGACAGAGTGTTCGACGAGCATTCTCGACCGCACGACGACGGGAGGGACGCGGGGCCCGTCGCCGGGCCCGGCGGCATAGTGTTGAGACGCAGCTGGAGCGATCCAACGAGTTACTTTAGCTACGGCGAGGAGATCGCCGCGCCGACAAAGGACGTTGGCGTTATCGGCGATCGAGGGGGCCAGTCTGAAAGTGGGAGACACAAACGAACCCTCTGGCGCGGCGACAGCATCGGCAGCACGCCGGTAAGCTCGCCGGCGAACGCGAACGCCGCGGGCTCGAATGCCGGTAGCGGGTCCGCCGCGTCTCCGAAGGGCCTGGAAGTGTCAACGGAGATCATCACGTCGCCCAACGGCCATCGGGATCTGGAGATTAAATTCTATTCGTCGCCATCGCCCGCCGAGCGCTTCGCCGAGGAGGACAAGTCGTCGTCGAGTCTCGCCGGAGAGGCCGATGACGACGACAATGGGGACGACGACTTCAGCGATATATGGAGTTACCACGAGTCGAAGCTGCAGCAGGATTTCCGCACGCTGCTGCAGGCGGAAGAGTGATGGATCGTCGACGTTATCTAACCGAAGATGTTCCCGAGCGCGACGAGCGCTCGCAGTCGCGCGGATTCGCTCGGTGGAGTGCGAAATGAGAGCGAAATGGCAAACGCCGACAATGGCGGAAACGGCGCGGAGAAAAGGAGGAGAGTGCGTGGGTGTTGACGACGAGGTATTTGGCTCTGTTTCGTAAAGAAGTGACACGGGAGAGAGAGATATAAACGATGTTGTACTCGTCGCCCGTCGTGCGCAAATGACTCGATTGACGTTCGCTTTGGTCTCGCGACGCTCGCTTTTACGTGCGATCTCGAGGGGGCCAGAGCCAAGCGTTCCCGCGTGAACGACGGTATCGCCGAGCCTCTACAAGACGGCGTCGAAGGCGACAACGAGGAGGGGTTTCTCATCGCTAACGGTGTTCGTAGTATACGTGACGTGACGTGATGCGCGTGCACGCATCAATGCCGCACGCGAAGACGCGCCGTCGCTCGGTACTCCATTTGATGTTCCGCGTCCAGCCAAGTGGATTGACTTCACCGAGCAACCATCGAGAAACGGTGTCGATCAGTCTTGTCGCAAAGTGTGTTAGTCTTGAGAGATCAGAAGAGCGTGTGTACTTGCGGGTGTGTTGTATGTGTGTATACGCGAGCGTACTTGAATATGCGTTACGCACGTGACCTCATCTATCGGGTCTCTTTAACGCATGGATTTTCTTTGTAGTAGGTTGTACACACGACAATCATCTCGTCGGTTATATAGTCAGTTACATAATAGTCTTTCGTGTTTTTACTAGTGCTTTTTTTTCTGATACGTGCAAAATTTCGCTCCAAGATCCGGAGGTGGAACGTTAATTAAGTTAGATTATTATTGAGAGAAATCCCACCAAAAGATAATTACACGTTCTTCGTGTGTTTTTCAAAGTCAGTTGATCGTGAATCATGCAGTCGATCCACCCGACGTTCCAATTTGCAACAACAAATTGGAGAATACTAGTTAGATTAATTCCGTTAATGTGTAAATACCTAAAAATAGAAAATATTTAGGTAATTCTGATTGGTTTAATCGTCGACTATGCCTGACTCGGTGCACGGAAATTAGTCACTTTCTCCTCATTTTTACAACTGCAACGATATTTGTGATACAATCTACGGCGACAGGCCATGCGTGAAAGAAGTCTGCGAGCCAAGAAACGATAGCGACATAGGAACAAGGCGGAAGGGACGAGGAATAAAATATATAACGTTGCTGATATTTTATGTGTTACCAATCGGAATATCGGAATGCCTTCGCCGTGCCCTTTTGTAGACGTGGGACCACTCATCTCTCTTATACTTCAACTATATCTGTTTTCCGATCGATTGCCCCTACACAATGATCATCTTATCATGAATTTATTCTATCTCATTCCGCGATCCCACGCCCAATTTTTATACCCCATTGTGTCTTGGCTCTGACGTGTACCCAACACGAGATCGACGCGTATTGAATTATCGCTCTTCACGCGTAATTAGGTAGCGACTATTTTTCCTCGATGTCCATCGATTCGCGAAGTGACGATCCGTGCGTACTCCAACATCCTCCTTAATCGTTTTGCAGCTTGTAATTGTGCAACGGAGGTTGAGAAACGTTAGATTGTCGATCGAAATTGTTCTTGACGCGACCAAACTCGCTTTAGCCGCGAAACGCGAGGTATTCTCATGTCAGTTTACGCGTCGCGCCATTCATGTCGAGTTGTCGCGTGCGATGCCTAAAAGGCGCATCCGGGAAAACTAGTTTCGACCGCCGCGCCGAGCCGGCCGCAAGAGGTTAATCACGAGAGTTAAGATACAGACTCGCGCGCGTGGACGCACGTCTCGTCCGACCACGCACCAACACGCTCGCGTGGTGGTGATATACCCTGGCTTTTTCTCGCCGTCGTCGTCGCCACCATCGCCGCCGCTGCCGTCGCCGCCGCCAATTCCAAGACGAGTAGCGGCGACGTGACCGTTTAAAACGTAACGTAGCAATTAATCGAAAGAACGATGAACGGTCCGGTCCGTTGCTGGCCGCCGTCACCGCCCCCGCCGCCACCACCGATCGTAATCGACGTCTGCGCCTTCCACCTCGCCTCTTCCTTCGCGCCAGATCGCTCGCGATAGTAGGTCGAACTGTTCCCCCGGCGGGAGAGGGAATCTTCATCATCATCTTCTTACCCGCGAAAGGGGCCCGCCTCGCGTGAAAGGAGCTACCGTCTGTACTAGTAACTGCGTTTAATCGCGCGCTATCGCCGCGTTTTATCGGATAACTCGGCGCAACGGTTCAGCCTCAGAGTCGAGCGCCGATAACCGGGCGGCTAGCTCTCTCGAGTTCGTAACATTGTTTCGCGTTTCCCCCCTATTGCCTCTCGCTCTTACCGTTTACCGTTGCCTCTGCTAAATAACGGCAAGTGGACCAGATAAACGCGTTATTGATTTGTTCAATATCAATATAATCAAGTGGAACTATCGTTGCCGTCATTCCGTTTCGACTCGCCGGAGTTGGATAGCAGATATTGTCGTACGTTCCGTTACGGGATATCTGACTCGTCCGTAATCGACGATCGATAGCTCCGTAGTTTGTGTATTATTCCTTCTTCATTCTCAGGTATTCTCCTACAGATTAAATTATTGTTAATGCGATTTCGTTCCAAGTGAAGCCTTACGAATATTTGGAATATAGAATTTTGATTCTTTTTTTTGTCTCTATTTTTAACAACAAAATGCCATTGTTACTCAACATACTTACTTAAATAAATTGAAACTTGTTTCTTCAGAATTCTAGTGTTGATAGAGATCTCAACTACAGTTAGGTAATTACGGTGAAGAATGCCATCGTGAATTCGTTAGATAACTTCTATCAGTTTTTTTTCCGGAAATATTAGTATGATCGATCAGTCACCGCCACATACTGATATGATTATCGCGGCGATCGAAATGCGACGGATCGAAGCGTTTAAGACCGAGCGAGGGTGGAAGGCGCGGCAAAGAATTACACGGCAGGATCAGGCGTTCTATACCCGAGATACTATATATCTACATTAGCGAAAGGCCATCGCGCAGATTTACACAGAGCGTAGAAGCGAGTAAACGTAGAAGCGAGTCGGCCGGTCACACACACACCCACATACACACGTATACACGTATACATAGGCACGCCGTGTCTATCACGAGCCGCGTCGTGATAGGTCGACTCGTTCTTCTGTAAATCTGTGCTCGATGATCGAGAGAGCCTCGGTCGAGGGGACCGAGGTCGCGCGACGAATCCCCGCGAATCCTGCGTCGTTTTGTATGCGATATACGAAGACTATACCATCTGTCCCCGTTCCCTCGCGACATTATACGTCAGCTAGACGGGCAAGACATATGCTACGAGCCACTCAGCATCATCACACGTCGTCATTTCACCGTACACCGTACACGGACGCACGCACACACACACACACACACACACACACACACACACACACACACACACGCACGCACGCACGCACACACACACGACACACAAACTCTCGGCAAACCACCTATCGTTAGACCGTAAGTCTAGAATCTAATTGTAAGGCGATCCATTTAGATTATTATCTTCGTTGTCTATATGTGTATAGAAGAAATCGCGCGAAGACGGCTTGTCTTTTGTTGTCACGATTTCGGAGCGCGCGTAATGGAAAAACACGACGATGATGAGACGAGGTATGATCGGGGAATATATAATATATATATCTATATATATGTATAATGAGAGTGATGAATATTTTGAATGGGTGTTTTTTGCGTATGATACGTGTTTCGTTTTGGAGAAACGGGAGAAAATGAATACGTATTCACAAATAATGGAATGACGGAAATGTTTGTTTTGTTACTGCTAAAAAGAGAAGTTTGAATTTTTTGAAAGAATACCGCGTTGTTTCTTATTGCAAAAAGTTACAAAAAGAGGTAAGGTGGGCTCTATTTGTGAGTTAAAGAAAAAAATTTGATAATAAATTTTTAAGACAGGGAGGGACTTTTCGGCTTTTTGTCTTGAAAATTTTGTATCCGATTTTTTGTTCAACTGACTGAAATAGCTCCTCCTTACCGTACAGTTACTATATATATTACGAATGCAAACAGCAATCGGAGGGACACAGGTTTGGCGTTCTAGTTTTCCAGAGATATATATAACGCGGCGGAATTATTCATGAATATTTATAGCAGCCGTTTCTTCAAAAAGAAACGCGCACGGATTAAACTAGGAGGAAACCGATGAAATCTTGTTAGTATTCAGTACACTCGCGGTGCTGGGCATACGAAGGGCAGGCCATAAAAATTCGACAACGGCGACGACGACAATGTTCGTTTGGGGCTATAACGGGTGTGCGCTTTGTGCCGGGTTTGACGTACGTAGCGAACGCGCGTTCCCCGAGCGAACGCGAAGAATGATATTGCTAATATTTCTCTCTTGCCGGCGAGTCGCACCTTGCGTGGCAAGTTTTATTGCCGAGTGGCGACAGATAAATATTGTCCTTGGTTCCTTGTTAAGGCGGAGCGCGCGCGCGCGCGACGCATCGATGCATAATCATGCAATGCGTACGCGAGGAAATCGCATTCGAGAAAGAAAAGAAAAAGCTAGTGAAAGAGAGAGACTGCTTTAATAATATCGTCGTCGATATTTTTCTTCGAGGATTCCTACAAGTCGTATCCGAGGGAAAAGGCCTGCCATTCGCAAATGTTCGTTCATGTTTTATCCGATTGCGTGCGATGTTTGTGTCGACGCTGTGTTATATGTCGACGTATTTTCGGTTGTATTTAACGTCGCTGCATGAATGCGCTATACGAGTGCATCGGACAGCAGTCCGGCGGGAAAAGTGAAACACGTCAGAGAGTGATTTAAGTCGAGTGACTATGGCGTAAGTCTATTTTAAGACTTTAAGAGTCGTAAAAGCATTTTTATTTCCACGTACATATAAGCGGTCTTTCTTATCGAGGGTCTTGACAAACACGCCTGAATCGTCTAAGCAAATTTGAATGAAAGAATTAAAGGAAGGAAATCATGCATTGCGTCTTTCTGTATTGCGCTTAGACTCGTTTTCAACAAGTTATCACTTTGCCACTAGACCTTCCGACACAAATTTTCTTCATTCGATTTAAGTATGCGCCTACACTTTTGGCGATCTTTATTATTCGACAGAGTAACTTATGGCGCGTTCTCATGCATTACAATACTGTAAAAAGTATGCAGCTTCTATAATGCATGTTCTCGGATGACGAACAGCGCAGCGATCGTAAAATTTTGTCATAGGAAAAAATAAAGAGATAATATAGCGTGTTGTTATGCACGACCTCTTGACGAGGAATGGCGGCTTTAGTCCGGGAATATTCAAGTGTTTCTCGACGTGTCGGATAGGAACGGTGAACGACGTCTGCTGATTTAGCCGCGAAGTCTGTTACGAACAATTTTCTGGCGACGCGTCAACGGAAGTGACCTAATTTATTATATTTACCGTTCTCTAAGCGCCTAAGAAATTTGTTAAGACGCGTATGCGAATGTCGCGGCTGAGAAAAGTGAGAATTGATGAATAAACAAAAGAGAGAAAGAGAACGATGCATGTAGTGTTTTTGGAAAAAAAAACAATCCCAACGTCGTTGAAGATGCTCTCGAACAAAATCCTCATCACCTGTTGACCACCCAGCAATCGCAATGTACGCGAAAAAGAAAAGAGCGAAAGAAATTTCTCTTTTTTTTTTTTAAGTATTATTGTCAAATATTTGCGATTTTTATTTATATTTACCGAATATCGGAAAAATACGAGGGCGAAGAATGGCAAACATTAAAGAGAACAACCGCGACAAATATTGGACAAACAAGGAAATTGAAAGAATTAAAAAAAAAGGTTAAAAAGGATTAGAAATATGGATATATTGATGTGAATAAAATATATGACAGCGAGACGGTTGATCGACAAATCTTTCGCTCTCCAGAAGCTTGAATTCTGACATTAAGAATTTGTAAGAAGCGCATTTTTTCCGTTGCTTTTGTGAAACAATTGCGATTTAGTTTGCTATGCGTTTGCAGCAAAATTCAATTAAAAGTTTGTGCTGTCCAGCCAGGATTTCCTCGGCTCTGATGATTTTGCCTTTCCCGATCGCCCGTCCAGTGTGATCGCTTCAGAAATCGTGCTTTCCGTCTGATATGATCTCTGACGAAGACAGAAGGAGAGATTTGAAGAAAACAGCCGAAATGGAGGGAGTTCAATGAGCGCGACTTAATGATCCTTGATTGGTTTTCTTCTCTTTGTCCTTTTTTGTTTTCATTTTTATTCCCCATGTCGGCCGTTGACCGTTTTTTGATTCTCTCTTCCTCCTGCTTCTTCTTTATGTATTTATTTCACTCGTCGTCAATTGACGTTAATAATGTATTGTGATAATGCAACGATACACACACAAAACACATACCATATTAACACACACGTACATGTGTACACATACCGATACTCGGCTCCGCTTCGTCGTAATAGACTGATCAACCAAGCCGACCTACCAGCGTCGCCCATAGTGCTGGTTGCACTAACTCGAATCACACTGTTTGGAAGAATCAATAAAAACGTCTTTAATTTATTCGCAGTCATTACTTTTATTGTGTCCCGTTTATAAATCCGTATTAGATTTAATAAGTGGCGTGTATGTAAAAGAATATGTAATATTTAAAATATAATAATATCATAAATGTCTTTTTTTAGAAGTAAAGTACGTACGTAAAGCCATCACGAACTTTTATTATTTTATAATAGATGAGAGATATGCGACAAATAATTTGTTATTGCTGTAGTTATATTTGAACAATAATTATATAAGGGAGATTTTAAATTCTGGGATTTTAGCAACTTGTGCATATATAATTTCTAATCTTTTAATCCTATACTTCAACGAAAGATATTCGTAATGTTATTGCGTCTTTGGTTGTTCTATTTTTATGTTAATTTATTCTTTTATCATTTTTATGCTATTAATTAATCCGCCATAAATATTTGTTTTCCTTTTCCGTAATTCATTATAGCTCGTAGAAGCTCGCTGTAATTTTCCCGAATGGAAAAACTGATTTTGAAGGGCAGAAATTGAGTTACCGCGTATCCTTCTTTTTCTTCCCCTGCACCTCCGATCCACGAGCATCAATTCGCTTATGGTGAACGAAGTCACGCGAGGATAACGATAACTCAATCATCTCCCCCATGCGTTTTCTTATTCATTCGCCTTTCTTTCTCTCACGAGCAAGCGGATTGAGTAAAAATAACGCGGGACGTTCAATTTACTCGTTTATTCAGATGAAAATTACTGAGACGGCAATTTTGCCTTCCGCTCGTTACACAACGAAATGTACGGAGCCCGCCATGACATAGCGCGTATTATAACGAGTTTGACTTATGGTAAGTACGGTAACAGAGTTTGATACGTACAGTAGCGGCGAAAAGTATTTTGACAAAGCGTTTATTGCCGGTAGAGCGCACACCGTACGCGCTGCGTAGTAGAAATTGTTGTTAGTAAATACTTTTCCGCAGTCTGCAGCGGCGACAAAATCAGTTTTGATTGGGTGGATGTTTCGTTTCCGAGGTGCCGCTATTATCTTTAATCTGTAAGTCGAAAAGTATTTTGACACAGTGGGTTTCGTTTAAGAGCGACACGCAGGGGCTCACGTAAGTTACTTTATTCACGGTTTTTGCTTATTTTATGTTTTGTTTACGTTCAGGAGCTATGCCAAAACAAAAGGAATACTCCAACGACATAAAATTGGCTGTTATTGCAGCATTGAAAAATGGAAAATCTCAAGCTCAAGTAGCGAGGCATTTTAATTTGAGCAGACAAATAATTTCGGTTTGGAACCGTAAACAGCAGTCCACAGGCTCGGTTAGCAACAAACAAATACGGGGCGACCGCCAAAACTTACTGACAGGGTATCTAGAATTATCCGCCGCATGAGTGTCGCTAACTCACGTCTGACAGCAGTTGACATTAAGAGAGATTTAAATGAGAATCACAGTCTTGACATCAGTTTAACCACTGTAAAACAATACCTTCGCAACGCAAATTTGTTTGGCAGACGTCCTTCCAAAAAGCCATTTATATCCGCGAAGAACAGAAAGGCGCGTCTCGAATTTGCCCAAAAACACAAGAACTGGACTAGTAAGGAGTGGGCTCGTGTACTGTGGAGCGACGAAAGTAAGTTCAATATGTTCTCATCTGATGGCATAAGGTATGTTAGACGACCTCCAAACAAAAGAGATGACCCCAAGTATCAGGTACCGACTGTTAAGCACGGTGGTGGCCATGTCATGGTTTGGGGCTGCTTCTCTTATTCAGGAGTCGGTCCGTTAGTCGAAGTGAAGAGCATCATGGACCGATTTTGTTACTGTGAAATACTGCAGAATTACATGCTCCCTTATGCTAAGCACAACCTTGTCAGAAACTGGATTTTTCAGCAGGATAACGATCCAAAACATACCTCTGCACATGTAAAAGAGTTCTTTACATCTAAGAAGATTAAAGTTCTAGAGTGGCCAAGTCAAAGTCCCGATCTAAATCCAATAGAACATTTATGGGAAGAGTTAGATAGACGGATTAAAAAAAGAAAATTCTCCAGAAAACAAGATTTGATGGCCTGTCTTGCAGAAGAATGGAAGGAAATACCATTAAGTGTGATCACCAAACTTATTGACTCTATGCCGGCAAGATGTGCGGCTGTGATTAAATCTAAGGGCTTTGCCACTAAATATTAAAGCTTCTGATGCAGTCAAATTAATTTTTGATGGTTAATTACAGGCTTTGTTTAAAAATTTCAACAGATAATGGTGTTGTCAAAATACTTTCTTTCCACATTTGTTTAAAAAATGTAAAAAAAAAAACGTAGTTTTCGTTTATGAATGTTATATATTTTTTTTTCATTTCTACTAAGAGGCATTGTTGCCTTTGGACACATATTATAACTTTGTTTCAGAAATAAACATTTATTTTCTATAAATTGTGTTTGTCAAAATACTTTCCGCCGCTACTGTATTTAAGATTATATGCATTCCCGTTGGCGAGCTGATTTATCACGCGAGCGGCGATTTAATATCCCCGACAGGAGTAATGATATAAAACACTTAAGTCACGATCGCTCGACATCACGGCTAGCATAAACATAGCGCTTAAAGTAACATAAGTATTAAGCGACCGGCCAGAATTGAACTTAAAAATGTCAACTACTATTAGGATGTAAATTGTACCAGCCATTTCAGGCTGGTGATTCCCGATGTTAATGTGACTTCTTATCGATCGTATCACACATAACTCAAGTAGCATGAGTCCGTAGCGTGGTATTACACCCGTAATGCAAGGGATTCTCAAGTTGGTTAATTACTCTTTTTAGAGAAACGTGGGTTATGCGTGATAATTGTGCAATCGCGATCCTTCATCGTGGGTGGCATGATATTATCTATTCAAATCCCGTTTACGCGCCGATAACTTCTCGAGAAATCCTGCCGATTTCATCGCCGGTTTTGCATCGCCGCCCTCGACGCCTCCGCGTCGATGAAGCGAACGCGTCCCGATTCCCCTGGGAATCGGTTTATGCACTTGGCCGATGCCGGGCCGTCGTTCGATGACGGCGAACGTAATCCGACGATCACCTCTTCTTTATCTCGGAATTGAGTAATGGCCCCTTGGCCGGTTCACGTGTGGGTTGGTATAATTCGCCCATGTTGCCGCACGACCCGGTACTGTTTAACATTAGTTCTTTACACGTCTGTTCTACCGCGTCCTTTTTTTTAATCGTTGATGGTTTTTATGATTGGGTTAATCCTTATTATTTGCTTGCTGCATTTATTGCGAATCTCTGTGTTTGAGGATCAGAGATTCCGCTGGCATCTCTCGATTACAGAGAAGAAAGGAAAATGCGGAAAAACTATATCTATTCTTTGCGTTAGGCAAATACGTTTTTATAATTCTCTTTCAATTTAAGAAAAAGAGAGAGAATCTTTATTGTTTTAATATCTTTTATTTGATTATATTATTTAACTTTTGTTATATATATTATACATTCAGTGCTCTGAGAATTACCTATACTCTAGAAACTTATAAAAATTTCTATTCAAAATTTTTGTTCCTTCCTTTCTAAAAAAAGGTGTGTTAAGTCGATACTCGCATATCTCGAAGTTTTTTGTTGCCCTTTTTCCGCGATGCCAATTGGTTCTCTCGCTGCGCTTACTTCATTTGCAGCTGTCATCGTATATTTTGACAGTTGTGTGTATCAAGAAGTTAATAGTGTAATAGTAATTGCATAATGTTAAAGCTAAATAGCGCGCGCGAAGCGCGCGTCTGTGGTGTCTAGTGGAAGTAAAAGAGACGGTCGTGTAACTTGGCGGATTTAGATCACGCTTACGGTCAGTCTCCGGTTCTCTTGTCTCTCAAAATGAATGTTCGTAATCAATGACACCTCATTAGCCGGTCGACGCTTTGCCTAACAGCCTGCGGCATGCTGTGTCGATTGAATTAGCCATCATCGGCATGCGTGCGCGTGTGTGTACGCGACGTAATCCGTCTGTCTTATCGCGCGCGCCGTTGCCCGTGATGAATCATTATACCGGTTAGGATTAGGGACGTCAATCACGATTGGCGGGGGGGGGGAAGGAGAGAAAGACATCGGGAACACGGAACCGGTATGCCGATGTCTACGACAGATTTCACTCAGGAGGAGTCAATCGAACGAATCGATCGAACGAATCGATCGAACGCAGCGCCGACGTTTGCAAACGGCTAATCACGAAATTGTTGCAATTCACGGTAGTTATTGCGTGGCGAATATACAAAGCCATTCGAGCCGTTATCTGTTAATTACCTTCTCAATGCATACGTGGATCTGTTATGTTGGACATTATTTTCCTCTATTTAAAGTATTTTTAAAAAATCTGAAAAAATTCACAAAACATCTGTCTATATTGTAGTTGATGATTTTATAGTCATTTTGATGAACATAATTTGTTTAATATTTTCTGGCAGGCTTGCAAGTTTTACAGTTACGAGTAGATATTATTTTGGCTCGGTCTATAGACCCACGTATATGCACATGGAGATGCGTCCATCGCGATTTGCATTTTCTGTTGCGTGCAGCGCGATACAGTTGTTTATGCAACACAGACTTAAATAAACAAGATTGTAAAACCCCGATGTGTTAAATATAACGATTTAAATTTATACGCGCATTTAAAACGATTCAGATTTATCGATACATTTTACTTCATTTACGCATCATGTAAACCGCAACGTGTGTACGTCTAACACGTATATGTACCTTCCAGTCAATGATCAACTAATTACCATATTTTACATTAAAATATTTTTTATGATGCAATATTTTATATTATATATATGACTTTTTAAGCATCGCGCCGCGCGCATAAACGTACTGAAGACAAGTAAATTTGACGTCACAACGCTAGAGGAAAATTATGTAACAAGTGTATAACTTATATCATTGATTACGTAAAAGTGGAATCAACGTGAAGAATTTTAAACACGATTCTTGTGGCATATAATTATTTTCTGCTCCATCTGCGTAATTTGTCAGCGACATTCACTGATAGCCG